GGACAGACCCTAGATTCAAGTTAAGGGCGGTCCTTGTTCATTGTCTTCGAGAAAGACGCCGAACACTGGCGGACACTTTGACGACGATTTGGAATTCGACATTTCGACAAAATGTCCACGGAGTTGGCCGAGATGTTTTTTGAAGACATAAGTCGTCGCCCCCTTGTGGGGCGCCTCTGCGCCCCGACATTCTCCAAAGTTGGGGTTGATCTGGCGGACAGTCCAGACGCGGCTAGTTTGGTCGAGACGTTGGGGATTGAATTGGCGATGGCCACGTCTAGATTCACGCGTCAGCATGCGATCGTCGAGCACGCGCCCGATGGCGAGATTGACCAAGGATTCATTGCAGCCAGAATCGCCTAATTCCTTGACGACATTTTGGGAATTGCATCAAGCCTGAACTGCTAGACCGTGATGAACATACTTCGAGAGAACACAATGACATTCGTTGTCTGTGGACGTTACATCGTGCATCCTTTGGACCTTTCGTCGCTCCTGGACCGTCAAGAGCAATGGAGGGCGATCGACGCTGAGGACAGGGTTGACCATTGCCCGCAACAGATGCGAAGGGCCCCCGATGAGCTAGATCACGGGATAAGGAGCACCCAGGTTCCGACACGATGGAAACAGCGATCGCGGGATTGGGGCTCGGCCTGAAGACCAAGATGCGCACGAATCCATGGCCGCCCAGAATGCGATGGCAGACCGCGTCGACCACGCCCAATGGCAAGAGCCATTACAAGATGAAGGCCAGGATATGTGGACCCGTTTGGTCGAGATACACGGACAGCAAAATGCTGCCATCGCCATTGGCATCCGGCGTTCATGCGGTGACAGCGGCATCCCTGATATCGGTTTAGCCAGCGATGGGATACCCGCAAGTCGTCCGGCACAGAGTACTGAGACGATCGACGCGGCAGTGGGCTCACCCAATCCCACGTTTGCCCCGATTCCCTCGCGCCCAGAGGAACCCGTTGCGGAGCCCGCCCCTGGCCCGGTCGGACGGATTCTTGCGCCGGCCTTGACAGATCGAATGAAAGATGGCCCCAGGAAAACAGGGGGGCAGTGACTCGGTCGCTGCTCTTGCACCCGTTACGCTTGTAACTGCTGCTCGTCGCCCCGTTCTCCCTTCTCCCGCGCCGCCCGCGCGGGGGGTCGCGATGGCCGCCGTTTCCGATGGGCGCCCCCTGCGCGACGGCGCGCGGTCGCCGCCCAGGCAGGACCGACCTCCGGCGCCGTCGAGGCGGAGGGGCAGGGGCCGCGACGGGGGGCCGAGGCCCGCCGACGCCCCGACTGGCGCCGCGCCGACGCCGCCGTGGCGCCACCAAGCACAATATGGTCAACTTATGGAGAACCGTGCGTCGAGCAGCTACTCGACGCGAGACAACTACCAGCGCGTTCAGTATCAGGGCCGCTAGAATCGCAACCACCATTTGGTGATCATGGAACGCGGTGGAATGGGCGTGGAGCAGAACGCGGCAATGTTGGTCGTAGGAGGACTACGGCGCCGCGCATGATAGCAAAGGGAACTACATCTCGTGATTTACGAGGCGAAGAAGCAAATGCTAAAGGCGGCCCAGCTTCCACGGCACTACATGCGGAAGATGAACAGGACAAAATACATGCATACGAAATGCGACTTCTTCTTCTGAGCCCGGACAAATATTTGCGGGGCCCGCTGGCCCGCTCCGACCTGGCTTATGGGAGGTCCGGCGGGATTGTCGGCGCCCCTTCCCTGGCGCTGCAACGCGCCGCTTTTTCTTGTGGGGGATCGGCGCCAGGGGGGGGCCAACGCGTCCTGGGGGGTGGGAGGAAACCGCGGTACTCTCCGGGCTGGGTTGGAAGCGCAAGGTCTGCGCGGCGCGCCGCGGCAGGAGTTGTTAATGCTCTCTCCCCGCTGCTCCCTGTGCTCGCAGCCGCCGCCGCCGACGCTGCCCGCTGCTGTGAAGGATTGGCTCGCGGACCGAGCCGAGGGTTGCGCTCGTCTTGCGCGAGGTCAACGGGGAGTCGGGTCGTTCCATCGTCGTCCTCTCCTACCCCATTCCTACATATCCAAAGTATAGCTTAACGGATCCATCATGAGCGATGAGACCCTTACCGCACCAGTACCATTTAACCCCGCCGGAAATCATGATCCCCTGGCGTAAGATTCCATTCGCCACTACCTTATCCCCCTCTCTCTTTCCTCCTCTGGGGTGACTCTCTCTCTCTCTCTCTCTTTCTAATTTTTTCTCCCGTGGCGGTGTGTGTATATTCGTGCGGGGTGCCCTGCAACGGAGCTTGCTGCATTCGTTGTCGGGTGGGGGGTCGTTTTTGGTGCGTGTAGGGAGATTTTTTGAATTTCTAGTATTCCGCGATTGCAGGAACAATTGTGTCTCTGCCACAGGAATCCCGTTATATTCCGCCAGAAGAGGATCCTTGGTGCGTTCCGCCACTCAAGAAGTGTTTTCGCAATCCATGTGTAAAATAATATGATGCAAACTCCCCTGAGTCCCCCGGAAATGTCCATCGGTTCTCCTCCTCCCGCGTCTGGCTTCACTCCCGCGCAGGATTTCACACGTGGGCATGTCGGCACGGTTGCCTGCGATCGGAGCGCATTCGGTTCTGCGCAATGGCGTTCAGAAGCGGTGTTTTGCCCCCGCGTTTCAGACTGTCTCTCCCCCCCCAGAGTGGGCCACACTGCTGTATCCGATTCCTTCCTCGTCGTTGCCGTCCTCCTCCTGCCCCTTTCCTCCGCCTTCCTCTGCTCATCATGCTGTTCCTGTTGTTCCTCCTTCCCATCATCCTCCTGCATTTCTCACCCTCTTTTTTCTCCTCGCCTATTATCCTCAGCTTTCCTCGTCCTCCCCATCCCCCTTTTTTTCTCTTCCTCGTTATGTTATTATGCTACAGTTTCCTCCTCCGGCAAACCACGTAAACAGTTGTGATTGCTGAATGCATCACTTCAGCCAGGCTGCGCGGAATGGATTTGCACCCGCCAAGACCAAAAGTCATGAACAACCGGTTGCGACACCACGACCAGGTGGCCAACGCAGCAGGGATGGACACCGACATTTTGCCGTGCACCAGCACCATCACTTGAACGAAGGATTGCAAAAAAAACGAAGGATTGCAATCCTTGGTTTTTTTGCAATCCTTGGTTTTTTTGCAATCCTTCGTTTTTTTGCAATCCTTCGTTCACTTGAGTCAGACCATTACTTCCCACGACGCCCCCGAAACTGAAGCAAGGCGCCGGGTCCACGCATCATGGGCGCGCTTCGTCGGCCACAGAGAAGACCTCACCAGCAGGAACTACCCACTGGGAGACCGATTACAACTGTATGAGAGTAGCGTCGTGTATGTTATCGTGTACGATGGAGAAGCGTGGATTCTGACATAGCCTTTTTCAAAGAGCACCGACGAGGAACACAACGACGCATGGTCATAATGATACTCGGAACGCCAAGGACAGCGACACCGACGCCGCAGCGCAATCCAGAGGTAGGCCACAACAGCAACCATGACACCAGCAACATGTCTTCAACCGGCTCCAGCAATTCCGACGTTTGCAGCAACCCACCGACCAAACAATCTGCGTGCAGGACGACCACAAAGACGACGAGGGCACGCATCCAGGCACTATGCAGGACTAGGACGTCGAGTTGTGGTCCGATTTGGTCAGCAGGAGCACGCGGAGGACAGAAGCATCGGTGCTCAAACGTGAAACACCTGATGTATTCCACATGCACCGCAGAATGGTTTGGCGATGGGGTAATATTGTGGTTCATCTCTTTCCGACACGCTGGACGCAGAGATTGCTTAATTGGAATCCAAATCTCAGCATTCGACAACGAGGATGCGATCAACATGGAGGGCCATCAACAAGATGGCACGACAACGTCCAGAAGTTTCTCCATAGCTTGGACGAGCATTGCTGCGACGCTGACGCTGGACAGCACCAGATTTGGGCAGCGACCGAACCACCACAAAACGAGCACAGCAGCACGAACGACTTGCGATGGTTATCAGCCGCTGGGAGCACGGAGTGGTGGTTAAGACTTGAGCCCAATTACGTGTCACATGTATGAAGCCACGTCTTCCACGCCATGCACTAATGGGCATTGGGGAGCTCCCCAGAGGAGCGCGCACAACTCCAGCGTTCGTTTCGCGTCGATTCGCTTCGCCCTCTTCTTCCAACTTGCCAACTGCGCAGCAAACGATGGGCCAAATCTTGCAACTGAAGGGCACCGAGGCCTTCCAGGACACCCCAGACGACGGACAGAACAGGTTTCAGCGACAGAGGAAGGGAATGGTGGGAGGGATATGATGTCAGAGGTGGCACGAGCGCAGCTGGCTTGCCCCTCTCCCCCTCTGCCCCTCCCTTGCCTCTGGGGACAAGGTCATTTCGGAACCAGTTGCTGGATCACTCCGCAGGGGGCTGGGCTCAGACTTCAAGGCCTTTCCGCTTCAGTTTCCTCCCCCATCAGTTTGAGGGCGGCTTCTTTTCAAAACGGTGCTCTCGCTTGATGACACGTCGATGTCCATGGCCAGAAGTGTAGGCTAGCTCAGGGGCTGTCCCTTTCAACATGGGAATCTCATTGTAAATTTCGTTGAGCTGTATGATCATTATCTTCGCATTACTGATTAGGCGTTGGAGATGTACAGGTCCTTTTCAGAATTGGGCTATCGCTTGAATGGCTGGCCCAAAAGGTGCTGAGCTTTCAAAGGGGGCGCTTATTGCAGTGAAGAGGAAGGTTAATGGGGGCTTACTGAGAGGGGGCTTGGGACAGGAAGTGTATCGCAGCATCTCTGATGCATCTTGGGTTTTCCATGGCCCTCCTCTTCCCCCTCCTTCTCCTCCCCCCCCTACCCCTACCCCTCCTCTGCCTCCTTCTCATCCTCCCACTTGTCATCATCCTTCTCATCCTCCTCCTCCTCCTCATCCTCGTCTTCCTCCTCCTTCCCTTCCTCCTCCTCCTCCTCATTCTCCTCCTCCTCCTCCTCCTCCTCCTCCTGACGAGGTGCTGGAGCCCCCCCCTGGCGTCTTCATGCGCCACGCCACGGCGCCAGCGCCCGGCGGCGCCGAGCAGACCTGGAGGCGTCCTCTGGGGCGGCGGGGGGGAGGGGGGAGGGAGAGGCAGCATGGACGGCCAGGCCAGGGAGGCGAGAAGGATGCCGCAACAAGAGGAGTTTAGGAGGAAACGGGAGCTGCCCCTCCCCCTACTGCCACTCGTTCTCCCACCGTTTGTGGCACGCTTTGCTTGCAAGACGTGTCCTTCGTACGTTGCCCAATTGTCCAGTGGGGTGTGAGAAGGAGGAGGAGGAGGAGGAAGAAGAAGAATAATAAGAGGATGAGGAGGGTTTTGTTTCGTATCCCTCTTAGGATCATCCGATGACGCCCTCAGGACGCGAAGAAAGGAGCACGAAAAGAGAAGCACGGTGGAACAAGTGAGGGCCCAGCTGAACAGTTAGCAAGTTCCCTGCAGCACAATGCGGGCGGCGCGAAACGCACACACAACAGAGCCGTTCTTGATTGACTCAAATGAGGCGGCTCCAGATACCAAACCAAGTTTTCGGAAGGGGGGGGGAGGAGGACGGGGGTAGGGCGGCCGCCCCCCTGGAACGCTTCGGCGATGCGCAGCTGCTGGAATGCATCCCGAGGCCAGATACCCGCCGAGAACCGACGAAAACGTCCGAGAACCTGGAGCCCCCCGCAGTAACCCCCCCCCGCCCCCCATGACTGGAGACATTTTTCTCTCAGACAGTGACAGGTTTTTGCTTGCATGGAGGTTGGGGGGGCGGGGGGACGTGGCAAAGCCGGAAGGGAGGTCTGCACTTCACACAAGGCAGGACTCACTTGCACGCCTTGTCGGCCCCATTATTGTTGGAAGAGGCGGCGGAGGCGAGGGTCGAAATACCACGCGAGCAAAACACCCTCCTTGGGCCCTCCTGGAGTGACGCAGACGTCCGAAGTTTTAACCTTCCCCCCCCACCCCACAACTGTTGGGTGTTGCCACGCATTTCTCTGGCCCAAGGTGTACCAGAATTCCCAGGGGAGGCCCAGATGGCCTCCATAGGAACCCTGACGAGGCCCATGAAGGGGCCCAGGGGCCCCAACATGGCGCGCATTGGGCCAGGGTTACTCCTATCAGGCGCACGCCAACATGGATTACGGTCGGACCGAGGTATAAGATCGAGGTCGGTTCGAGGAGGGTGCCCAAATGTTCTTCGTGTTTGTTGGAAGTTCTTTTTCATCCTGGGAGAGGGTATTCTTCAGTTTGGCCGGCGGAGGGTTTCATGTTCTTGAAGGGTGTTCTTCTGTCCTAAGGTTTGGCCGTAAAGGCATCCGTGGATTTGGCGCGTGGGCGCCAGATCCACAGATCGGGGAACGTAACCCTGTAAAGATGGCGTCAGTGTTGCCCGATTTCGCGACGGAGCGCGTCGGCTTTGCACGGAAGCAGGACCCGTCGCCAATCCACGCGCCTTCATTCATGTTTGCGCCCCCCCCGATTCTGGCAACACCCGACACTGGGGCCTTCTTCCCTCCTTCGGCCCCGACAGGCGAGCGGCTTCCCTGCCCGTGGCGGGCGGCTCCCCGAGCTCGCCCCAGCGCCCGCCCGCGCTGAAGCCCACCGTGCTGCCGGTGCCGGCGGACGGGCTGCGGCGGCGAGTGCAGGCGCTGCTAAACAAGGTGTGCCCAGAGAACTTGGCGCAGATCGTGAGTCAGGCCAGGGGGCGGCAGGGAGGACCGGGCGGGGCCAGGATCGTTCCAGAGCGTCCCAGAGCGCTTTCAAATCGTTCCGTAGCGCCCTGGAACGGCCGCGGCGCCCGATGCAGCCTTCGAAATTGCCAGGTCTCAAAGATTCCCGATTTGTCCCGGCCCTGGCTTATTCCTAGAGGAGGTCCAAGCCTCATTGAGATTTGATATGGGCTGGTGCAAATCGCGCAGGGTGCCACTGGGTGGGTTTGGGAAGGCCTCTATTGCCTGAGCTCCGTGAGGTCTGGAAGGTTTGGAGAAGCGTCTGTAGCCTTCCTGTGCCCACCGTGTCCCGCACACAGCATCTTCGCACCCACCCCCTATGGTGGGGAGGATGGAGAGGGCCGAGGATCCCAGGCCTCCCCCGAAAGATGATTTGTTCAATCCCAGCGCTGTTCCTCCGAAACGTCGGCCTCTGGGGCCTCGATCGGGCCTACGGGCAAGCAAACATGGATCCGGAGCGAAAAGCTAATCTTGGGGAAGGGGTCGGCGAAGGCCGAGTGTGCGTGTTTGGCAGTTTTGCTGCAGTTTGAGGCCTCCAGGAGTCCATGAGGCTTCTTGTCGCCACGGCTGAATCCACTGTGAAATTTTTGCCAGAACGCAGCACTGGAGTAGGAGGGATGACAGGAGGAGGCGGACGAGGAGGAGGAGGAGAAGGCAGAATAACCATCCGCTGATTTTGAGCAAAGCGGGCAAAGGTGAGGGATGAGGATGATGTTATTGTTCAAGCTGCTGCTGATGATGATGCTGATGATGATGCTGCTGATGATGATGATGGTGATGGCGATGGTGATGGTGATGGTGATGATGATGCTGAAGATGATGATGGTGGTGGTGATGATGATGATGATGATGGTGGTGATGTGTTTGATGATGGTGGTGATGATGATGGTGGTGTTGATGATGGTGATGGTGTTGTTGCTGCTGCTGATGATGATGATGGCAGGGTGATATGATGAAGATGGTGATGATGATGATGTTGATGGTGATGATGATGATTGTGATGCTGAAGATGATGATACTGCTGATGATCATGGTCGTGATCATGATTACGATGATGGTGGTGATGGTGATCATCATGACGATGCTGCTGATGATGTTGGTGATGACGTTGTTGATGGTGATGGTTACACTATGATGGCGATGGCGACGACGATGACTAGTTATGGTCACATGGCTGTCGAACTATAATCAACGTCTACGTGGGGCACAGGCGGGGAGCCGACCACGCTGGCGTGCAGCATCAGCTTGTACCTCGTAGCGCACTGCGGCGAGTGTTGCTGCACCCCACCGCGTGCCGCAGCACCTGCGAGTGAGGCAGGAGCGACCTGTCCCAGGCACTACGGGCCAAAGGAGGAATGAACACAACATTTCGGGGACGCTTCTCTTGACAACGTTGACCTAAGAGCCTCATCGCACAGTCAAGCGTGAACACCACGACGCTCACACATACGAGCTTAAACACAACGAAACTGCCGCCCACGAGCGCGAACACCACGGAGCCGCCGCCGAAGAGCGTGGACACCACGAAGCTGCGGCTCACGAGCGCGGGCACAAGCTTGAAACAGCTGCAGCCCACGAGCGTGAAGGCCGCGAAGCTGCCGCCCACGAGCGCAAACACCGAAGAGCTTCCGCCCTCGCAAACCGACGCAACGAAGCCGCCGCCCACGAGCGTGCACACCACGAGGCTGTTGCCCACGAGCGCGAGCACCACGAAGCTGCAGTCCGCGAGCGCGGGCACCCCAAAGCTCCCGCCCACGAGCGCGAGCAAACCGAAACTGCCGCCCACGAGCTCTCGCTCATGGGCGTGAAGACCACGAGGCGAATGCCCACGAGCGCGAACACCACGACGCCATTACTCACGAATGCTTGCGCCGAAGAGCTGCCCGTCACGAGCGTGACCACCGCAGAGCTGCCGCCTTAGGCCAAACCTCTTATTTTTACGCCAATCCGCTTAAGCTCACACCAGGCATTCCCTTTACTGTGGGATGCGCGCCCCCGTGACGGGCGAGCACCACATGAGCTTGAAATGCCAGCTAGAGCCCCACTGTGACAAGGAGCAGCCTTGCATCTATACGGACTGCGACGGGGCAGGATCACCGGAGCAGGATCCTCGGAGTTTGATCGACCTCCTGCCCTGACGCGTCGAGTAGTGAATTGGACGTTTTTGGGTTCGCGCGAGGGCGTCGCAGCCGTGCTTTTTGCGGGTCCGGGTCCGGCGGATTCGGCCCCAGGCCGCTTTCACTGAGGGGAGGTTTGCTAAAGGGAGGTTTTCGGCAACACCCAAACATACTTATACTACATGTGCGTCGCCCCCCAGGGGCGACGCGCGCACCGAGAAATCTTATAGTATATGCGTTGTGGCGGGCGCTTTCTGGCCACACCGCTCGGGAAACGATATACTACAAGATGGGTATACTATATGTTTGGGTCGGACGCACGCCTCCAAGAAGAACATGTAGTACTAGTATGTCTTTGTGTATCCCAGGCTTGTCCACCGCCGAGATCACAGAAGGTCACGGCGGTGCCCAGCCAGAGCCCCGCTGTCGTTGCGGGAGCCGCCCTCCATCCGTGGAGCCGCTGCGAAAGTGCCACAGCCGTGGGCATGCTCTCGAAACGGTCTAAGCGGCCCCCCCCGATTCGGACAGGAAGAGCTGTGTTCCACGCGGGGTTGCGAGCTGTTCCAGCGTTTGATGGCATGCTTGATGGGGCACCCACGCGACAGCTCCTGCTGGGAAAGGAGCCACGATGTATCCTTGCAGCTGGTGGACGATTGTAAGACGAGGTCGCGCGGCGTTGAGGCGAGAACCGCATTTCGGAAACTGCCGCTCTCCACCCTTGCAGCTGATGGGTTCTTCGAGACTAACGTGCGCTGCGCTTCGGCGAGAATCGCATTTTGGAGACAACAGCGCCCTCCATCTTTGCAGCCGGTGGCAACATTTAGGACGTATGTGTGCGGCATCGGGTGGAGATCCCATTTGTTTGAGCCAGAGTTGCCTCCATTATTGTCGATGTTGAAATGTTGTAAGACCCACCTGCGCGGCGCTAAGGCAAAACCCATATGCTTAAGCGAGTGGCCCTCCATAGTGGCAGCTGGCTGGAACAGTTTATGTCGCTCCTGCGCGGCGCTGAGTCGAGGACCACGTTCTGGAAACGACCCGCTCTCCATCCTTACAGCTGCTGGGGATTTCTGGAGCTTCATGATCATAAGTTCTGATGCGAGGAGGGGTCAACTTACGAAGACGAGGGGTGGAGGAAGAGGGG